CGGCGACCCCTTTGCCGACTCCTTGGTCCCGCCTGGGCTGCCTCATCCTTATCCTTGCCCTGATGCTCATCCTCATCCTGACCCGCATCTTCATCATCGTCCTCATTCCTTTTTTTTTCTTCGGTTGTGCCTAGCTTCCTATCTGGGGAGCTGGGGGGACGAAACGTAGCAGAAGCAGGATGAGGAGCGAGGTTGGGCGGACGTTGGACGAATATGTGGCGTGTGACGATGACAACACCCATCAGAAACCTTAAGGTAATAACATCAACTTTCATGGGCTCCTGATTTCGTCACAGGAATCAAGAATCTTGATTGGACGAGATGGTAGTAATAACCGTAATGATGACGATCATGATGATGATGCTGATGATGATGATGACGATGATGATGAGGCTGATCATGATGGTGATGCTGCTGCTGCTGCTCATGAGGATGCTGCTGCTTATGATGAGGAATCTGATGATGATGATTGATGATGCTGATGATGACGATGACGGTGATGTGGTGTATGATTCTGGTGGTGGTGATGACGCGGGTGACGATGAGGATGCGGATGATGATAATGGTCATGATGGTGATGATGATGCTGATGATGGTGATGATGATAATGATGATGTCACCAATGAAGGTGGTAATGATGACGATGCTGATGATGACGATTATGAGGATTAGCATTATGATGATGCTGCTGATGATGATGATGCCGATGGTGCTGATGATGATGCTGATGCAGCTCATGGTGATGACGATGATGATGACGACGATGATGACGACGATGATGATGACAATGATGACGACGATGATGATGACGACAACGATGATGATGATGATGATGATGATGATGATGACGATGATGATGATGATGATGTTGATGATGAAGTTTTTTTTGTTGACTATCAGCATACGGTTGGGGATGAGGAGGGTGACGATCATGATGATGACGATTCTGATGATGATGATGGTGACGATGATGATGGTGATGATGACGGTGATGATGATGTTGATGGCGGTGACGGTGACGGTGATGGTAATGGTGATGAAGTTAGTGACGTTTATGATGATGGTTGTGATGATGATGATGATGATGATGATGATGATGATGATGATGATGATGCTGATGATGATGACGAGGATGAGGATGAGGATGCTGCTGCTGCTGCTGCTGCTGATGATGATGATGATGATTATGGTGGTGATGCTGATGATGATTGATAATGCTCATGACGAGACGCCGAGGGCGATCATAAGAATCTGGAGGACGAGGACGATGCTCGTGATCACGACAATGACGATGATGACGATGACGACGGTCACGATGCTGAGGACGATGAACAAGATGATGAGCGCCACCTCGATGATGATGTTGACAATGATAATGATAATGATAATGATGATGATGATGATGATGATGATGATGATGATGATGATGATGATGATGATGATGGTGGTGGTGGTGGTGGTGGTGGTGGTGATGATGATGATGATGATGATGATGATGATGATGATCAGGAGGAGGAGGAGGAGGAGGAGGAGGATGAGGATGATGATGATAATGATGCGCGGGAGGAGGGATCGTATGATTGTGATTCTGTGGATGAGGATGATAACGAGCAGGAGGATGCAGAAGACGTGGTTGAGGAGGCTGCGGAAGAGGAGGAATCGGATTCGCGGTGAATCCAAAGGCGGTGATTCTAGGTTCATCGGCGGTGCGATTCATGATGCCAGCTCAAGCTCTCGGAAAGGGCCATGGCCTGCAGGGTGCCGAAGGGAAGCTTCGGCGCCTACATTCGGTATCGCATACTCTCCCCGGACCAACACCTGCCTGCCCCCCGCCCGAATCAGGAGTAGGTCTGGAGTCGGACTCGGGTAAGGAGCCCGCCCCTACTCCAATCGGCGGATTGATCCGGAGCAAGCCGGACAGAGTGCACAGGTAAAGGCAAAATGCAGCGAGTCCACGCTGCGATTGAGAACGGGCCCGCGGGAACTGCGGCCACCGGTCATGTCCCGGGATGAGGCGATCCCACTGGCCTCGGCTAGAGCCCAGCCGTGGGCCCGGGAAGGAAGCATGGAAGTGAGGGTGGGAGGAGGAGGAGGAGGAGGAGAAGGAGGAGGAAGAGGAGGAGGAGGGGGAGGAGGAGGAGGAGGAGGAGGACCAGTGTAAACCCAAGAGTCATCAACGATTTTGGAATAAACCCTCCCTCCAAGCTCCCTCTTCATAGACCCCTACAACGGTTCATTTCCATTGAGGGAACTGCCTCGTTGGAAGACAACCGTTTGAAGACCCTGAAGCATGCCAAAACATTGTTCTCGGGATTCCAACGCCACGGATCAACCTGACTGTTGCGTTTTGACGATCCTTAATTCGTGCCAGAACTCCGTTCGTGGGACTTCAACACCGCGAATGAACGTAACTGTTGTGCCCTCATCGTCCTGGTTCCTTCCAAAACACCATTTCTGGTATTTTGATCAAGGGAATCCGTGAAACACGAGCACATATTTAAAACGAATGTGCGCGGCGCTAAAGCGGGAGCCACATTTTGAAATAGAGCCGCCCTCAATCCGTGAAGCTCTTGCAAATGTCTGAAAAAAATGTGCGCGGCGCGAAGGCGAGAGCCACATTTTTAAAACGGGTTCACCTCAATCCGTGAAACTCCTGTAAAGTTGAAAACGAATGTGCGTTGCGCTCAGGCTAGAACCACATTTGAAAACCACCCGCCCTCTATCTGTGAAGCTGTTGCCAATGTTGAAGCTTCAGGGTCGTAAAAGGTGGGGAAGTCTCAGGCGAAACGCCCGGCACGCCCTCAAACAACTGGCTTCGGGATGCGACAGGGAGAAATTAGTTATAAGGAAGAAGAATGGAGGAGGAGGGGGATGAGGAGGAGGAGGAGGACGGGGAGGAGGAGGAGGAGGAGGAGGAGGAGGAATAGGAGGATGAGGAGGAGGAGAAGGAGGAGGAATAGGAGGAGGAGGACGAGGAGGAGGAGGAGGAGGAGGAGGAGGAGGAGGAGGAGGATGCATGTGAGGAGGAGGCGGTAAGGAGGAGGAGGAGGAAGGAGGAGGTGGAGGAGGAGGAGAAGGAAGAGGAGGAGGTGCAGGAGAAGGAGGAGGAGGAGGAGGAGGAGGACCAGTGTAAACCCAAGAGTCATCAACGATTTTGGAATAAACCCTCCCTCCAAGCTCCCTCTTCATAGGCCCCTACAACGGTTCATTTCCATTGAGGGAACTGCCTCGTTGGAAGACAACCGTTTGAAGACCCTGAAGCATTCCAAAACATTGTTCTCGGGATTCCAGCGCCACGGATCAACCTGACTGTTGCGTTTTGACGATCCTGAATCGTGCCAGAACGCCGTTCTTGGGACTTCAACACCGCGAATGAACGTAACTGTTGTGCCCTCATCGTCCTGGTTCCTTCCAAAACACTATTTCTGGTATTTTGATCAAGGGAATCCGTGAAACACGAGCAAATATTTAAAACGAATGTGCGCGGCGCTAAAGCGGGAGCCACATTTTGAAATAGAGCCGCCCTCAATCCGTGAAGCTCTTGCAAATGTCTGAAACGAATGTGCGCGGCGCGAAGGCGAGAGCCACATTTTTCAAGCGGGTTCACCTCAGTCCGTGAAACTCCTGTAAAGTTGAAAACGAATGTGCGTTGCGCTCAGGCGAGAACCACATTTGAAAACCACCCGCCCTCTGTCTGTGAAGCTGTTGCCAATGTTGAAGCTTCAGGGTCGTAAAAGGTGGAGAAGTCTCAGGCGAAACGCCCGGCACGCCCTCAAACAGCTGGCTTCGGGATGCGACACGGAGAAATTAGTTATAAGGAAGAAGAATGGAGGAGGAGGAGGAGGAGGAGGAGGAGGAGGAGGAGGAGGAGGAGGAGGAGGAGGATGAGGGGAGGAGGAGGAGGGAGAGGGAAGAGGAGGAGGAGGAGGAGGAGGAGGAGGAGGAGGAGAGGAGGAGGAGGAGGAGGAGGAGGAGGAGGGAGGAGGAGGAGGAGGAGGATGCGTGTGAGGAGGAGGCGGTAAGCAGGAGGAGGAAGGAGGAGGTGGAGGAGGAGGAGGAGAAGGAAGAGGAGGAGGAGCAGGAGAAGGAGGAGGAGGTGGAGGAGCAGGAGGAGGACGAGGAGGAGGAGAAGGATGTAGATGAGGAGGAGGAGGAAGAGGAAGAGGAGGAGGAGGAGGAGGAGGAGGAGGAGGAGGAGGAGGAGAATAATCATAATACTCAACAACAAAATAAGGAGGAGGAGGTGGAGGAGGAGGTGGTGGATGTGGAAGTGGAAGGGGCAAGAGGGGAAGGCGGAGGAGGAAAGAGCAGGAGGAGCAGGGAAAGGATCGGGGGAGGGGGGGAGGACGAGGAGGAGAGAAAGAAGGTGGAGGGTAATGGGGAGGGTTCGGGAGGCTGAGTATGATGAGGAGGTGATGGGGCAATAGAAGTGGCCAGCGTGCGGGGCGGAGATCCGTGCTAGATGATGAGTCATGGCTGGGCACGCCTTTCCGCTCGATCGCGGCCCTGCTGGACCTCGAGAAGGCATACGAATACGTGTCTTTGAATTTGAGTTGGTATCTCGGTGTGCTGCAACAGGTGCGTATGGGAGTACTGGCTTTGTCCTTGAAGTCTTTCGCCTTTCCGAGGACGGTGCACAAGGGACAGGCAGCCGCCAACCCTGTGTGCACGCTGGTGGGGCTCCTTGCAGGTTCTTAGTTTGCAAGTCGGTTCTTGAGGGTGGTGCTGTACCCGGTGTTGGGCTTGGTGCAAGCGTGGTCGGGGGCAAAGATGGACATCACCAAGTAGATTGACGACATAGCCATTCGCGCCGTCGGCACCAACAAGCAGCTGAACAGAGTTTCCCCAGAGGTCGTCGACATGCCCACCGGGCTCCTGGAACACATCATGACGATGAAGCTGTCCAAGGCCCAGCATGGGAAGTCGAAGTACGCCACCAGCTCCGAGGGCTTGGCCAGCGAGCTCAAGCCAGAGATGGAGAAGCTTGGCTTGAAGCACTCGGGGAACGAAATGTGATTGGGCGCGGACTACCAACCTCAAGGGCGACGGAGAAACATCACTCGTGACAAGAGGATGCGCGTAGCCAGAGGGGGATGGCTGAAGGCTGCAGCTTTGAAGCGGCGCGGAGCCAGAGTACGGCCAGTCATCCAGCATGGCCTCAAGGCCTCGATCACCTAAGGCCCGTCTTGCAGGGGTTCGACGGCTTCGGCCATGTCTTTCGTTGAGCAGAAGTGCAGTGCATGTAGTGCCTGAGTGGAAACTTTCAATCTTGGCACGCTGAGATGGGCTGTCGGACCTCGCGCACGCGGAGCATGAACAGTTACGACTGGTGCCTGTCAATGTCTGGCACCAGGAAGCTTGGGACCACCCAGAGAGGCACACTCTGATGGCGCAACCATGGGGAAGGCAGTTTCCTGTCATCAGGCACCCGCTGACAGTGGGTCCCAGTGGCTCTGATGTGCGGAAAGTGGTGACAGGGCCTGCAGGGATCGCGATGGTCACGACGCACGAGCTGAGCTGGGAGATGGCGGACCCCTTGCACATCGAGCGGGGCGAAGAGGCAGCGCGCGCCGACGTCCGCGAGGGGCCTCCCCTGGAGCTGAACCGAGTGGCAGAGAGGTCCATCCACTTCGGGCTCTTCGACTGGGCCCACGCGACGGATGAGAGGTCGTCTTTGAGACCTGCGCCAGGGCTGCTCCCTTTCGAGCAGGTCAGGGGGCGCCAGGATGGATGACCAAGAGTGGGCGCCAAGGGGGATGACTTCGAGACGGGCCAGGTCGACACAGAGATCTGCCCGCTCTGCGAGGAGCAGTCAGGCTCCTTGTTGCATGTTTACTACAAATGGGCGGCGGGCGCATGCGCTGACGCGCGCAAGCGCCTCACCGATCCGAACAGGAAAAATAGACTCAGAGACATCGTCCAGCTAGGCATTACAGCGGCTAGTAACGAGACATATGGCAGTGAGATGAAGTAGGCTCGAAGGCCCGTTGCTGATCCAGTCTTTGATTCCCGTCCCGCCAGACATCTTCTAGATAGGTGATGAGGAGCCACTTCCCATTCTTTCGGGTTGGGTGGCCACAGATGGTAGCGTCTTAAATCCTGGCATTGAGGAGCTGCCTGTCGGTGGTTTTGCGGCAGAATCTTGGGACGTTTATAAGAATTCGGATGCTCAGGATATTTCCAGCCCTGTCCCGATGGCTTGCCCGACCTCGGCTCTGTGTGAAATCTGGGCCGCTTTAAAGGCCGTCAAACATTCGGTTCGCCTCGAGGGTCTCGTCGCAGATAGTTAGCAGACTGCTGGCGGGCTTCTCGAAGAGAGAGCCTACTGCGTTGCGCCCGATCAAATCTCGGCACAACTCTGGCGTCGGGAGTGGAATGCTCTGGACGACCAGGGCTTGGTGCCTGAAGATTCGGTGCCCGTTGTGAAGACAAAGTCCCGCATTGCTGCTCCTCAACGGCTGGCCCTGGGGCTCCTGGGGGCCCGCCATTGTCTCGCGAATAAGGCGGCGGACAAGTGCGCGAGGGAAGGGGCCGAGCCCTGTGCTTCTCTTCGCTGGAAGGTCGAACGAGCGAGGAATGCCTTTGTGATGCAGCGCCGGGCCCTCGGCTACATGAGCAGTCTCGTGGTCGAACCCAGCGGCAGCAAGGGGGCGACCGCCTCCTTCCGTCCTCGCCCAGGCGGCTTCGGAGAGGTATACGCAGTCGCCTCCCAGCTGTGGCTCGCGACCGAGGGCCTGGCCACCGGTTCGAGCTGCTCAAGGGAGGCCAGCGGCAGTGCTGCGGGCGCGCTAGATTGGCAAAGCTTGTTGCCGGGCTCGCACTTGCTTAGCGCCCAAACCCTTCCTGGCTGGGGGGGGGGCTATTTCCGAGGGGGGAGCGCGTCCAAAGCCCGAGGCCTTGCTTCGGGGTGAGGGGCTGCTCGAAGCTCCGCGGGGTTCGGCCTCGCAGGCCGCCCGTGAAACGGACCCTGCCTCCTCGTCCAACGCCCCCCCCTCTCTCTTTTTTTTTTTGTTTCTCTCTCTCTCTCTCTCTCTCTTCTTTCTCTCTCTACATATATATATATATATACACATATATAAACATGTATATGCATGTATGTATATATGTATGTATGTATGTGTATGTATGTATGTATGTATGTATGTATGTATGTATGTATGTATGTATGTATGTATGTGTGTGTATGTATGTGTATGTATGTATGTATGTATGTATGTGTATGTATGTATGTATGTATGTATGTATGTATGTATGTATGTATGTATGTATGTATGTATGTATGTATGTATGTATGTATGTATGTATATATACATACATATATATATATATATATTCACAAGACTTGAAGTTCGCTGCGCTTCGCCTTAGAGTCTTCGCATAGTGCATGGTGGGGGCGATGCGCGGGCCGAAGGCGGTCTTTGCGCTGGGCCAAGACGCGCGGCCAGGGCAAGGGAACTGGACGGAAACCGCAAGACACGCCGGCAAGTGGGCGACGGGCGCGCGCGCGCGCGAGGGTGCAGGGGGGCTGGTGTCCACAACTTGCGGCGGGGAGAATTAGCGGGAGAATTAGCCCGGAAGCTGGCCTAAGTTTCTGGTGGTATTTTCGTGAAACGTTTTCGTCCCTGCCGCTTCAGGGCGCCGTGATTGCCTCTGAAGGTGTCCGGGGGGATCCTTGGGGAATTCGCGTGCGAGAGATGAGGAAGCACATCGGTGAGGGTCATTTCGCTGTCCGCTGGCTCACAGAAATTGGCCGCGACGGCACGGGCAAGCGAGCGCGGCGCGGGCTCGCCGAACAGGCTATCTTACTGGCGGGGGGGGGAGGAGGGATTGGTTGCCGGACGATTAACGCACCGGCAGCGGGTGCCGCATCGCCAATGGTTTTTGGGGTATTCGTCTTGCGGGCGGCGTTGGCCGCATTTGGCGCATGGTCGAAGGAGTGTGGGGGCATTGTCTGTTGAGCAGCATTCGGTGCAACGGGCTTTGTCGATTCTCGAATGCAGTTGGCTAGAGGAGGAAGAAGAGCGCGGCAAGCATCTGCCGCACCCCCTGCAAGTCAGAAGTGCCACAGGGGCATTGCCAGTAGAGCAGCACTCGGTGCAACGAGCTTGATCTGTTCGTGCGTGCAGTTGGCTCGCCGAGAAATCTGAGCGAAGCAACCATTTGCCGCGTTCCCTGCAAGTCAACGTGATTCGCTTAAGGGGCATGAGGCAGGCGCCCCTATGAGAGAGTTTGAGCCAGGATGGCGGACGTGCGAGTAAAGAAGATGATGGGATTCGGGAGGGAGCGAATGGCCGGGGTTAGCGCGGACCGACCCGCAGGTTGCAGCCAATTTTTCACTCCCGAGACAAACATATTGCTGAGCGCCCGAATGAGGTTAGGAAGAAGGGTGGAGGAGGCGGAAGGCATTGTCGGTGGAGCTTTCGGGGTGTCTTGAGGCAGTCTACGGGTTAGTGGGTGGCTGGAGCCTTTTGGACACCGTTCTGGAGCAAGTGGAGACATCTGAAACGCCTTTGGGCCATATTGGGGCCGTATGTGGCCGTGCTGGGTCCATGTTGGGCCTTCTTGGAAGCATGCCGGGGGGGGTGGTCGGTAGCTCTGAGGCGTTTTTGGAGTTCAGGGAGCGTATGAGATTGTGGGGGCCTTCCGGGAGGTCCTGGAGGCCTCCTGGAGGGTTCGGAGGCATGGGTTCTCTCGGGTCTCTGGGGACTTCCTTCGGGCGTGTTTGGGGCCACTTGTACGTTCTTGGACGCTCATGGACCGTCTTGGGGCCCTCTTGGGCCGTCGTGGGGCCCTCTTGAGCCGTCTTGAGGCCTTCCGTGGCCGACTTGGACGTTGGGAAGATCCACGGAAACGAACATGCTGAAAGTATACATTTTCAAAGGGAGTGAGACAAAGCTGGCCTCCTGGGGCCTCCTTGGTGGGCCTGTTGGAGCTGTCTGGGGGCGTCTTCGGGCCCTTCGGCCTGTGTGAGGCCACCTTGGGGCCTTTCGGAGCGCTCCTGGGGCCCGCTGGGGGTGACCTGGGAGCCTCTTGTGCAGTCTCTTGAACTCCCTTCGGGCAATCTTGGGGCCTCTTGGGCCGTCTTGGACGCCCCTTGGACCGTCTTGGGGCTCTCTCGGGCCGTCTTGGGGCTCTCTGGAGCCGTCTTGCGGCTTTCCGTGGCCGACTTGGACGTTGGGAAGATCCACGGAAGCGAACATGGTAAAAATGAGCGTTTTCCAAAGTGAATGGCGCGATTTTGGCCTCTTGGGGCCTTCTTGGGGGGGCCGTTGGAACTGTATTGGGGTTTCTAAGGGGGCCTTCGGCCTGCATTGAAGCCATCTTGGGGCGTCTCGGAACGCTCTTTGGGCCCTCCCGGGGTGACCATGGGAGCCTCCTGGGCAGTCTTGGGGCCTCTCGGGGTGACCTCGGAGCCTCGAGGGCCATCTGGCAGCCTCCCTTGGGAGGTCCAGAAGGCCCGATCAGTGCCCGCGAAGGAGGAGGAGGAGGAGGAGGAGGAGGAGGAGGAGGAGGAGGGGGAGGAGGAGGAGGACGAGGAGGAGGAGGAGGAGGAGGAGGAGGAGGAGGAGGAGGAGGAGGAGGAGGAGGAGGAGGAGGAGCATCGGCTCCCCATGGCGGTGGACGTGCACAGTCCTCGAGCCTCGGAGACCTGGGCGGCCGGGTTGGGGAGGGACCCGTCCTTGGTGTCAGATAATATAGATGGAAATATATACACGTGCGACCGTGCGTGCATGCGTGCGTGCGTGCGTGCCGTGCGTAGTTTCTGGTTTGTAGATGTCGGGTGTTCGCCGGATCCCGTGCCCAAAGGTTGGTTGCTTCGGGAGCGCAACGGACGCTCACGAGAAGAAGTGCCTTCCCATAATAAATCTTCGGCGCCGTTATAGGGACCGTATCCTAAATGGACGGGGCACTTGCACGGGGTTGACCGTGCTGGAGGCATGGGTGTCGTCGGCTTCCATCCCCAAGCGATCCTCGCTCGGGACTGCGCTCCAGCGCTTTAGCTTCTCGGCTTCACCCCTAGGCGGCAAGTTCGCTCGGGAAAGGGGTCCTTGGCCAAGCTGGTGAACGGTTCAGAGGTCCGCCTGCGTAACCGACCGCTCAGACAGAGAGAGGAGGATGACGAGAAGGTGGCGGAGCAGGAGGAAGCTTAGATATGGTGTTGGAGTGGAAGGAGGAGGATATCAGTATAAGCAGAGCGAGGAGCAGGAGGAGGAGGAGGAGCATGAGGATCAGGAGGAGAAGGAGGAGGAGGAGGAGGATGAGGAGGAGGAGGAGGAGGAGAAGGAGGAGGAGAAGAAGGCTGTGCAGGAGGATTAGGAGCAGGAGGAGGAGGAGGCGGAGGAGGAGGTGGACGAGGAGGAGGAAGTGGAGGAGGAGGAGCAGGAGGAGGAGGAGGAGGAGGAGAATGAGGAGGAGGAGGAGGAGGAGGAGGAGGAGGAGGAGGAGGGAGAGGAGGAGGAGGAGGAGGAGTGAGGAGGAGGAGCAGGAGAGCGGAGGAGGAGGAGGAGGAGGTGCTGGAGGAGGAGGAAGGAGAGGAGGCAGGAGGAGGAGGAGGAGGATTAGGATGATGCTAAGGAGGTGGAGGAGGAGGAGGAGAAGGAGGAGGAGGAGGAGGAGGAGGAGGAGGAGGAGGAGGAGGAGTAGTACTAATACTACTTCCGAATCGGAAGAGCCAAACTTATACCAATATTGTTCGTAATAATCGTACATACGATTAATCCCAATAATGTTCATACTAGCGATACGAATTGTAATACGAACTCTAATACGAGTAATAATCGTACGAATAAGATACTCATGCAAATTATTGTGAACACAGTTAGAATACTGACGCGAAAACGATTTCTAACGATAATACACATTATAATGACCATTATATTAGTAATCATTCTA